TTCACTATACTTTTCAGTTAACTCTGCAAAAAGACATGGGAGATCTTTTGCTCTTGCTTTCAGGTTAATAGACACTATAAAAACGTCATTTGTGTGTTGGCATAGTTAAGTTAGTGAAATTACGGTGTTGCTTGTAACAGTACACAACAAATCTAGAGATTTCAGCTCTCATTTACTTTTCCAATAAGAGTTCGGCGCGAGGGATTATTTGGGATTATTAAAACTAGACGTCTTTTACTGTGTATTTGTATGGTTTTCAGCAACGCACTAATACCATGAAAATTCACAAAGAATGCATACGCAAAAAGGGTGTAAAATCTGCGAGAGCCAATCACATTTCAAGAAATTTGCTGCAGATTATTCTAGAATCGACCTCCATTTTTGGTAAAATCCCTGACTGTAATCGTATCAATAAATTATTGGTACAAGTTTTGGCATTATGGTTAGAATGTATCTGTATTTGGATGTTTGCATTTAATGTTTGTATTTCGATGTTTGCACCGAAATAATGTACAATTTAACATACAGTTAGGCTGTAAATATAGGCGATTTTTTTATCTAACCACAAAGTGATTTACATCGCAGTAATTGGTATAATTTTAGCATTATGGTTAGACTGTAAGTATATTATTTCTGCCAAGCGACTCTTATAATATACACTAATAAACTCGTTAATAAGAATACAATACTAAAAGAAGAGATAGATAACACGGAAGAATCAAATTACCATCGATTGACAATGTTTCATACATGGACGAAGCATCAATACATTCTTAATTCAACGGAAAAAATACACGTTATGATTGGACGTTTATTGTATCAAATTAAACTATGATAATGTAAACATAAAAGATAGTGGCTGTGTATGTATTAAGCTTTGATCGTCAGTTGCATGAATTCATAATAACTCCATGGATTGAGATCTTGCATACCGCATGTACCAAATCTTTATCATTAGCTTGGACATAATTTGAGCCTTTGAATTTTATGAATCTCACACTTCTGTTCGGAGGCAGTTATGCTTACACACCTCTCTCATATGGTGTCATCCAATATTTATTAAGTGGCGATGCGATTGACAAACAGCAATAAACTTGTGTCACAAATTTTACTGCAACGTTTGGGGCTCATTTAATATTACTGAATCAGGAACACAAGAACAGGCATGCATGGGTCATGATAATGATTACTTATGTCTGTGATTAAACAACTTGCATAGACTTCAGTTAAAAAAGATGATCTATGATTGTATTTGAAAGTGTTGGTGGCTTCAGCGATCATAGTGCACTTAGAAATAATGTAACAGATATTAGTGACCAAACATTTCATACGAATTGCTACTATTATCAAATGCCTGTGTACCGTAGCTTTTCACTCATAAAGAAAAACGTACAGCAGATCCCAAAGTATACATAATTACACAAACAATATAACCATACTTGTCACATTTACAGTATAACCATATGCTAAAAAGCATATGATTGCACATCAGGCATGCAAACATTCTAACCATAATCTAAAAATTGTACCAATAATGTCAAAAGCAATCATCGTACAGTTAGATCCACACATTGACTACATTTACTATCTAACCGTAAACTGCGTTTGATACCTTTACTCACACAAGCCCACTAGTGAAGCTGATGATGAGAACCTCATGATTAACCCTTTGCATTCACAATATCAGTTGGTTATTGTATTAATATATTATTCAATAAAATGTTGTTATATTACTAATTATTCCAATCTGACATGTCAGTTCAGAAGTGACATAAATTCTGATCTGACATATGTCAATTTGGAACTGATATAAATTCAGAATTGACATACAACACATGTGTAAAATATATTATCACACATTACAATCATTTGTTATCAATGCTGGCTGGCAATAAGTTTTATTCATCCAATTTGTGTGATGATGTGTTACAATATATGGAAAACAAGCTTTAACAATATAAATAAATCTGCAACACTGTTAACATTCTTTTATAATGACTGACCATATTCAAAATCTTCATAACATTTGCAAAATGGAATCTTTGCTATCTCACTTTGAAACTTCTGCTCAATCAACTGTAAATAATGCTCAATGAGCTCTTGATGAAATTGTTGATGTTAACACTCTCGAAGTGCATGTTGAATGTCTTGATCAGCTTGTGCAAATTTATCATCACTTGATGATAGCACCACACGTGCAGTTACAATCAGAAGCTATCAAAAATCTTTGCAGTGCATTAAAACAGAAAATCGATAGACTTAATTCATCATCAACTTCAAGCAGAAATTGCTTAATCCAATATGAAAGTACAGGTGGGAGAAGATGCATGGTGATACCTGTTACAATTGTGAGAAATTTGCGAGAGGAAGGACTTGGTTGGTCAAGCATTGCTGAAATTTTTGGTATTTCTGCCAGAACTTTGCAAAGACGACGAAATGAATTAAATATTCCTGACGATTTCACGTATTCAAATTTGACCGATGCAGAGTTAGATAACATTGTAGGAGAAATAAAAAGAGAAAACCCATTTGCTGGACAAATATTAGTAATGGGTGGATTACAAAACAAAGGACTACGAATCCACTGCCAAAGAGTCCATGAAAGCTTACACCGAGTAGACCCATTCGGGACTGCTATGCGTTTACAAAATTTGATCCCACGATGGAGATACAGAGTGGCTGGACCTAATGCACTGTGGAGCATCCCAGACATTTGTCTGATTGGTCAATTCAATTTTTAATATGATTGGATGATCAATTTATCGAGACTCAATA